ATATATATATATATCACAACACTTGTTAATCAAGCCACATTTCAATCAGGAGACAATCAATCTATACATGCTAATTTCGTGACCATTGAAAGTCTCTCTCCTTTGTTTTACGTTCACATTGCATTGGTTCATTAACATAAATAAGTGCACGATTTTGCTAGATTACTTGTCTTATTTAAATTCATGAATTCTACTTTTCTCACTTCCTTCCATATATTCATTTCATTAATGTCAGTCTTCCCAAAATTGAGACATACGTGTGCTGACAAAAAGATTTGGGACATTATTATTCAGTCATAAAGAAAAAAGAGTATCTTCCCAATATTTTTGATGAACTTGCAAGTTTTATCAGTTCTACAACTCCTGCACAGAATCTCTACAAAGACGAAAAAACTGATATCAAAATATAAAACGCATATCACGCATTGATAAAGATGATTGATAATCTTATGATCCTATCTGAAATAATACTAAAGATATGCACGAAGGTATGGCTAGGCAGAAAAAAAACTAGTTGAGAATGAGTGAAGATAGTGTGCATAAATCTGAAATACTAGTGATGCAAATGATCATAAACTCTACTACAAGAGCTAAAGGTAATTAACGAATCTTGAAATACACATTTAATTGTCACATCTAAACCTTTTTGAGCTTACATGTTAGTTTGCACATTCGACTTTGTATGAAGATTCTTACACAAGAAGCTTCTTGATGATTTTGAAGTGGTCTGTTCTTCAACATGAAAGGAATGAGGTTGACTGCCTCCCAATTCCTTATGCAATAATTATTTTCAAAATCCAATCTTCTATAATTATTATTATAGACTATTATTATTATTATTATTATTATTATTAATCCAACAATCCAGTTTATCTTGGAGCTAGGATCTTGGAGCAAGGGATATAGAGATAAATGGTAATATATATATATATATATTCTTTTACACATATAGAGTTAAATAGTTAACCACAATCATCATTGATGACAAAAAAAATGTCTTGAAAAATGTCAATTGAGACCCAAAGGATTTATGTACATTTAGACCCAAAGGATTTATGTAATGTCAATTGAGACCCAAAGGATTTATGTACATTTATGTAACATCTTAACATCCATTCCCAGTAAGTCACTAAGAACCTCTGTTGCCTTCATCTTACTGTATACCTTTCAATTGTAAATCCCACAGGTACTACATTTAGCTCAAGGCAAACATGCTTGGAAGAACATAGGCTAAGAACTCAACTATAAACAACAGTGGAGAAACTAGCACCACCAGAACCTTGAAAAATGTTTATGATCATTGCAAAGATGTGACAATATTAAAATGCACAAGTTTACCTTCCATTGCATAATATTGCTACACATAACAGTAACACATCAAAATTACCAATCTAAGGGAGAGGAACATTTAGCTTTTCATTAAAAATCTCACGGGGCACAATCATGCTTTCATGAAAAGTAAGGTAATTAGCAGATCAAAACTTAAGCTAAGAATGCTATTGCAATGTCCTTCTTACTTATTGCTAATAACAATCAATAGTTAAACGATTCCACAAAACTTCAGCTTGAATACTCTCCATGACATTAAAGAATTCTTACAATCATTGCAAGATATATTTAACTTCCAATCTATATTATGCTTACACATAGTTGTGTAATGAAAACAGATCCATAACTTACAATTGGAAGAAGAAAAAGCAGCAGACTTGATGAAGAATTCACAGAAATAACACTTACCTGATTGCCTGAGGAGCAATCCATAACAAACATTTAAAGAAAGTAAGATACAGGGTTGAGTACGTGAAACGGGTTGCATACTATCATGGACAAATTTTGAAACAAGATGTTTGATGTAATGCTTATGTATGTCCGTGCCTTTTGGTATGTTCATACTTTGTACAACATGTAGAGGGACGATCGAAGGCTTAATAGTCCCATTTTAGTTAGGTTGGTGATCGCTTTAGGCTTGTAAATAAAGGTTGTTTCATGTGGACACGTGTGAGAGATTTTCGGTCTGTAGTGGACCATTTTACCCTTTGTTGTGCAATTGTTCAGAGCTTGTAAAGTCTATTTGTAATTTGCATTGTCTATGAAGTGTTTTCAGAGATCTTTGCTTGTGGATCCCGAGTTAGGTGTTCTCTCTAACCCGTTCTCTCTTTTGTTGGTGCTAAGGGACAATGGGAGGCTTCGAGGAGGTTGACTTTTGCGGACGAACACGTAAGGGTGCCGCACGACTTAGGCAAAACCAACTAAGTCCGTGACAGATGGTATCAGAGCGAGACAAGCACTCATAGAAACACTTATCATGCAAACGTGGGGGACCTAGCGGGGCTGCATTGAGGGCAGTCAGCACACGCGCAATCGTTTGGGGGAAAACGGGCATGGAGATGTAGGAAAAAGAGTAGCTCGGAGGAGCGGACATCTGACATTGGCATTCAGAGGAATGGCCAACCCTTCGTGCAAGAGGCATCACGAGAACAGGCAAGCTTGGAAGAATACGAAGCGCACAAAGGTTGGGATGGCTGAGTTTGAGCTACGGCTCAACGTTGATAACTATACTCAATGGTGCTCAAGGCAAGCGAGGCGCTTGGTAAAGAATGAGACCATGCAATGTGGAATGAGTTGCTCAACGATCGAAAGAGTTATGCAAAGCTCGCAGAGGTGAGGGGAATTGCTAGCTCGAAGAATTTGGTACTCATGCATGAGCTTGTATGCGGACGATGGAATGTTGGTGGCCATCCCAAGGCGACCGAAACTTGGCGCCATGGAGCATTGAAACTTTCTCTTCAGCATGTGAAGGATACGTCCGTAGGAGGTTGAAGTGTGCAACGAGTTCAGCATGTTACTAGGCCTTGAGTGGTGCAGCAGGGGCTGTATTAACGTAGAGTCGTAATCTAGCAAGTGCGTTTGTAGGAGGTGGAACAACGCACAGTTTGTTCAGCAGATCGGAGTAGTCCAAGGGGATGATGGTCTCCGAAATGAAGAGATATGTTGCTCCAACGGGATAGATATTCAGGAGGGATAAGTCCTGGCTTTCCAGAGGGAGAATCATGTGCAACAGATCGCACATGTTGAGGAGGAGTACCTCAACAAACAACAACTCTATGAAGCTCAATGGACCGAGCAAGCGACGAGAAGTCGTCGCATGATCTCGCTTGAGAGAATGTATTAGTGGATGCATTGCGAGATCAAGTGGGGGAGCGACCCAAAGCAACACAAATGAAGGCACACTTGGAGTCAATATGGACTTTTGTAATCATCCATAAATTTCTAACATCAATTAATTACTTTAAATCATATGTTATTTTATTTAAATTAGTATTTTTATTTATATAATATGATTAAGAAAATTATTAAAATTATTATTTATCTTTTATGGAGAGCTCAAGCTCATCTTTACTCAATTCCTAGCTCTCTTAGAGGAAATGATCATGAGGAGAGTATATTTTTTTATTATTAATATTTTATTTTATATTTTTAAAATTATTTTAATTTATACATAAAAAATGATATTTTTAATTTTAAAATTTTATTATTAATAAATAATGATCATTGAAAGTGTATTTATGTTTTAAACAATTAAGTATGTATTTTTAGATTTAATTACTTTTAAATTTGGAACATAAATCTAAATTAGTTAATTCATGAAAGATAATAGATTTATGACGAATTATTATTTTTATAATATTTTAAAATATTTTTTAAAATATTAAAATCTAATTTAACAAGTATAAGTCAAATTTGAGATTTAACCTGAGTTAAGTTGATTGACCAAACTAGTTTATATGGTGAAGTACAATCTAACTCATGTGATTAGTTATCACTCGGTCTACGTGGTCAAGTATGATTCAGTTCATGTTATTCAACGTAACACAATCCATATAGTCAATTATAATATAATATATATAGTTAGACATTACTTGATTTATGTAACGAGGCATGATCTAACTTATGTGGTTAAACATAACTTATCGTATGTGATCAAACATTATCTAACTCATTTAATAGTTATGACTTAGCACATATGATCAGGTATAACTCGTATGATTAAGCAGAATCCATTCCATGTGATCAAGCATGATTTAGCCCGTTATTTATGTTATTATGTATGACTTAACACAAGTGACTAAATATAACCAAATTTATATAGTTCGATATGACTTAACTCATATAATCAAATATAATTTAACTTATATGATCAAGTATAATTTGATTATATATGATTCGATTTATATGATTTATATTATGTGGTCAAGATTTAACTCTAAGTTAAGATCGTAAAACTATATATATATATATATATATATATATATATATATATAC